TCCTAGGGATGCATATGCACACCCGTGTGAGTATGAATACGTAGAGTTCAGTGGTCTCTTGCTGGCCTGGATCTCACCAAGCAGGTCCAGCCGGCTATCCACTAAGCCTTCCCAGTGTTGGGATTACAGGCATGTGCTACTGTGCTCAGCTTTCTTGCATGGGTTCTGGGGACTGAAGTCAGATATGTTACCATGCCTCCATGGTCAACACTTTAGTGAGTTACCTCACCAGCATGTTCATGTACGTTACCATGATATTTTCATCTTATGATGGGCTTATCAGGAAATAACCCTAATACAAGTTGAGGAACATCTGTATCACTACATAAAAATGACTACAAGCATTGCTTGTTTGATCTGAGAGGAAAAAAAAAATCTGTGGTTGTGTATACATTTTAATGATGGCATCATTGACAGTGCTGCAATAATCCTGAGAAATGGCACCTCTCCAAACACAGAAGAATAGTATTTCAGAGAAAAATGCTTTTTCCTTTCATCACCACCACTGCCATATTTTTTATAAAGTGGAATAATTCTAATTTTTCCAAAGTCTCCATTTTCACTTCACCCCCAATCTGTGCAGCATGGAGAGCAACACACGCTGTTGGACATTTGGAGCAAAAGAGGCCAGGAGCTGAAGCGATGCTCTCCAGAAGAATAACACCATTCACTGTTGACCATTGGCTTTGGGGAGAGCATTAGAAGACCAGAATTCTAGGCTTTTGTCTGCTATTAACTAGATGTGTGACTCAGAAGTGGTTTACCTTTCTTTAGTGGTGGTGTCCTTATCTACAATCTGTCCAACAAAAGAACTGGTCTTTGGTAAAGAATGAAAATATTATGCTACAAAAATGAGCACTTTTAAAACTGGACATGGTGACAGATGTCACTAATCCCAGAGAGTAAGAAACTCCTGAGTTGCATGCCAGAGTAGGTCACATACTAAGACTCCTATCTCAAGAAACCAGAACAAGTTAGCAAAATTGAACCCTGAAAGCTCCTGGGGGCAACTAAGCATTCTCAGCCTTGAGAGTTTCAGCATGATTCAGTGGGTGGTGAACTGATTGACTGGGGACTGCTGTGTCCATCAGAGAAATGTTTATATTCCAGAAAGGAGCCCTGCGTGAGGCTCAGTGCTGTGGTATGGCCTGCCTGGTCATGGGTCAACAACATCTGTAAAACTTACACTGTTTGGTCTAGATCCTATGGCTCTGTACTGATTTCTGTCTCTGTCTTGTCAATCTGACTCACTGTCAACATTGAAGAAATTGCTTGCTCCTCGCTGAAAGTCGTTGCCAGGGTGGTCTGGCTCTGCTGCTCAGACACATCCCACCCCATCTGTTCTTCCCTGAAACATAAGGTTGGCTGCCCAGCTTCAGAGCCAGGCAATGCAACAGAGCAAGCAGAACTGACACAACATCCAAGCTGGAGGTTTCCTGAGCTCCTCGCTGACCATGCTTCATTGGACCTCAGCCGGCTCTAAATAGGTGCAAGTCAGAAGGAGTAATTGCTCATGCAGTTTTAGCTTTGACTGACTCCACAACTCCAGCTCCTCTGGCCCACCTTTCCAACATGCATTTTCTTTGTGGGGGAGGGGAGGGCGGGCAAATGAGTGAGTGGTATGTGCTTGTGTGTGCAGATAAGCATGCTCATGCAAACACACATGACGGCCAGCAGAGGGTGCCATGTCTTTATTGCTCTCAGGCCACTTCCTTGAGCAGAACACAAACCTGACTATATACCTTTCACCTAGTTTGGCTAGCTATCCAGCTCCTGGCACCCACTTGATTCTGTCCCCTAATATTGGAGTTATAAGAATAAGCAGACCTTACTCTGTGCTGGTAAAGGGAATTTGAACTCTGGTCCTTATGTTTGCAGAGAAAAGGCTCCACCCACAGGTTCACCCCACCAATCCTGCATCTTGCATTTTGTTTGGCCTTGACCTAGCCTTGTTACTTGAAAGATGAATATTGATAACATTAAAGGGTTCAGATGTCATATCACCAGTATCCCCTCATGACTTGACTTCTTCTGCATCCCAATAACTGCACTGGTCAGGGATGACTCCTGTCACATCTTGTGGTTATTTAATTGCATCACTTGAACAGCATATCACCATCCCCACGTGCCTTTACCAAGCAAGACTGTGAGCTATTTGGGGATAGTTACTGGACCTTTTATTTTCATCTATGTGGCTTCAGGATATAGACGAGTGGTACAAAGTAGATTCTCTCCCTCCCTCCCTTACTCCATCTCTCTCTCTCTCTCTCTCTCTCTCTCTCTCTCTATATATATATATATATATATATATATATATATATATATATATATAACTTCTAGAACTTGAGTCAAAGATGGTCTTTGCAAAAAGCAATCATTTGTAGATCTCATTAGGACATATTATTATCTCCTGAGCTGCAATTTCTTCACATGTAAAGTAGAAATACTAATAATAGTGTCCACTTTGTGAACTTTATGTAGGCGAGGATTAATGAGGAAAAATGTACTATATGAACCATAGACATGCTGGCACATAAGCACACAAGCAATGCATATAAGTTACTAATAATTTCTGCCATGAGACAACTTGGCACAGCTTGACTTTTGCATTTTGTATTTCTTCAGAAAATAGAAGAGCTGATTTCCTTTTAGAGAAGAACACTCTTTCACTCTTGCAGCCTATCAGCCTATATCTGCTTCACAAATAGCACGGAGAAGCTTGAGCTACTCTGTAGCTACATATCTTACTGTCATTAGATAAAATAATGCCAGAAAACTCTATAAAATGGTATTTTCCATTGCTAGCTGTTGCTACATCCCCACACTCTGAAACAAGGGAGTGCAAGGACAACTTAGCAGGAAGTGTACAGTACTCTGAACTACCGAGCACAATGCCTAAGCATGGATTGACAGTATTCTACAAGGTGTGAAGGAGGCTCCCAAGTGTCTTATCACAGCCATGGAACAAAGGCACTGTCCCTAAGAACAAAGATAGCCCAAAGCAGAGAAAATATGCAATGACAGATTGATACAAAAGACTCTGGTCCACACAACTGTGAAAAATTCATCTGAAAACTTTATAATTTAATACTAATAACGAACCAAAATGATGAGAAGTTAAAAAAGAACTATTTTAATTTGTAAGTCACTGTGTATGGCAAACAAAAGACATCTAGCTCAGAATTCAGAAATGGCAAAAGCTTTTTTAGAAGCTGTGATAGAAGATCATGGCTATCTACTTGGTAATGCATTTATTCAGACCTCCTATTGTGATCAACTGGATATAGTATTCTGCATGCATTCTCTACATCAGCCTAACTTCCATTATACCAACTTCTCCTTGGGTGATACACAGAGCGTCCTCACTTAATAAGTAAAAGATCGGGTATCTGAAAAGTCCAAAGATACAAAGCAATGCTCCTTTCGTAGTACATCAATAAATCACAAATATCCATGTTATATATCAGGGTCTAATGAATGGGAATAGTACTCTGCAATCATCAGTGTGACAGGTATAAATAATGGTGGCCAGATTGAGTCTGTGCCCAGATAGGGTCTGTCATTTCTTCAAGTCTGGAGTTAAAGCTTCTTTCCAGTACATCATTGTGAACTGAGAATGTACAGCAACAATGGAGTGGGACTAATTAGGAACCCTTCAGCTATTTGGAATTGTGTCCATCGATTCCATTCCTTCATAACTGATACAGCATTTTGACTGTGTGTTGCTTGGTAATAAAAACCTGAAATGAATTCTAACTGTTCAGAGAGTTAGCCTCATATCTTTACTACTACTTTTCATATTTTCACAGATAGGCAATGATCAACTTTATATGCAACAATGAAATGGTATTAGGAGGTGGAAAAGAAGGGGAAAGCGGCAGCCAATAGATCTTTCACAATGGGAATCGAATAGCAGATTATATTCATTTAGTATATATAGCATTTAGTATCTAGTGCTGAATACGTAAAATACATGACCATTATAAATCCACCTTCCATTGCAAAGCCTTGCTCTTATAGTGACATATCTTATTGCTCAATTGGAGCTTCTAGTGTGATGGAGGCATCTTTCGTTTTCTAGATTCAGGGCATCCTGAAAACCCATATCCTTGGGAAAGAGAGTTTATAAGAAAAGCTGAGGGGCTGGAGAGATGGCTCAGCAGTTCAGAGCACTGGCCACTCTTCCAGAGGAACGGATGTCAATTCTCAGCACTCACATGGCAGCTCACAACTGTCTGTAACTCCAGTTCCAGGAGACCCGACACCCTCATATTGACATACACGTCATCAAAGCACCCACCAATGCATACAAAATTTAATGAAATAAATAAAAAAGAAAGGCTGAGTTGCTCATAAAAGGGCTGCACCTATTGGAGAGGGAACTGTGTAACAGAAGGTTAAGTCATCACCATGGGGACATGCCACTTCAGAATGTCATGCTCTGCTAAATCCAAAAGGAGAGATTAGCCAAAGCTGTCTTCTGGAACCATCTTAAAAACATTAATCTACTACAAGTACCCAATCCCAGTTCTGGCATTATAAAAAAGATGTAGAACACTGTGCATCTAGTTATTGTGAAAATAAACATATCTTGTGATACAACTCAAACATAAATGGATTTGAATCAGGAAATTTATGAAATGACTTCCCAGAACCTTCTAATTTAACAATATATCTCAAGACACAGATTTCCATGCATTGAATAAACCATAAAGTAATTAACCAGTGTTGTTCATTTAGGTTCTGAACATCTTAGACTAAAGCTTGCATTGCCTTTCCAGACAAATGGCCTTACCCTTGCAAAATAATCTCCTGCCTTTTCTTCTCCTTCCCTTCTTATACGAGTATCACTGTATAGATATTGTTCTTTTAATTCCCACTGTCAGACACACAAAAAGCATCCCCAACATCTTTATTGAATGGCTATGAATGAATGAGAAAATGAGGACACATGGCTTTGTGGTAACTATGTAAGATGCACAACAGCACTTTTCACTTACTTCCCACTCTTAGATGTGCTCCGGGTCTTTGTAGATGATGGAGAGTTGGCACCTGAGTTGTAGTTTGAAGAACCCCATCTATCCTTACTATACCCACCGAAAAATATATACAAAGAACACAGAGAGAAAAAGCAATTAGTCATTTCATTTAACAATTTCAAGACCTCTCTCTCTCCTGTCCTCCCCCCAGCAAATATTTATCCAGTGATTTCCTTCAGTGTCAAGGACAGTGAGAACTATTAGTCAAGGTCAAATAAAACCTGTCCTTAAGAGCAAAGTTTGACCTGTTACATTCCATTAATAGTAGCACCATAGCCCAAGACCCTGGGAAGGCTTTAGTGAGATAAAATGTATAAATTACATAGTCAAAAGTGAGTAGCATTTCCTCTCCTCTAAAACAAACAAGCAAGCAAACAAACAAACCCCAAATGCCTTAGTTTTCCAGCCACTGTCACAAGTTCAGTTCTGAAGCTGCTGACTTTCAGTGAGGGGTATGGAACCAAGTGACTTCAAAATGTCTTTGGGAGATACTATCAGATGAATTAATAATTTTCCCTCATAATGTTTCATGGGAAGGCCATGCATTCAGATATTCTTTCAAGAGAAGCACCACTTGCTTCATGAGTAATTGAATTTAAATTTCCACCTTCAATAACTCCACAGCTTATGTCAAACCTTGGAAACAATTACTAAATAAATCACAAGGAAGGTCTGCTTAATCTCATCAGGTTAATAAACGAAGGCAAATTAATCACCTCAAGGTAAACAAAGAGGAATAATTGATTGGAGTCTCCTTGATTACTTTATTCTATTTCCTTTATCAAGCTATTTTACCATTATCTTCAATTCAGCTGCTTTGCCTTGAAATTAATACTTTACTTCATCTTCAGATTTCCATGGAAACCAATTCAAAGCCTTTCTCTCCACTTGGTTGTGAAATTACTTATCCCAATTTCATCAGAATTTTTTTTCTGTAACTAAAATCTACGTCAGCATAACCTCATAAATAGTGAAGGTAGAACATGCCTATCTTGTTCAGCGAATATAATAGGACCTTCTCTGTTTTTACATTTATTTACTTACCGTGTGTGTGTACTCAAGTGTATATGCACATGTACATAGAGGTCACAGGGCAACTTGCAGGAGTTATTTCTCTCCTTCCAGTATACGAGACCCAAGGGGTACACTTGTGTCATTAGGCATGGCAGCAAGTGTTCGAAACAACCTCATCAGCCCAGGACCTTCCTTTTTAACTTAAAATATATTATTATTATTATTGTTGTGTGTGTATGAGAGGGGGGGTGTGAATAGGAAGTTAGCTGTTCCTCATTCCACCAAAGGTTCCAGGATCAAACTGAGGTGGTTGGGTTTACTCAGAAAGTGCTTTTTATCTGCAGGGCCATCTCATGAATCCAGAACCTTTTATGGGTAGAGATAGTGTCTAAGACCCTTCTAAATTCTTTTGAATCTTTCAAGTCCATTGCAAATATGTGTCTCTGTGCAGTAGCATTTATGTCAAGGCTGGGAGGGGGTCATAAATGACATTCTATACTAAGTCACTAGTTTCAAATGGACACCAGGGTGTGATTGGAACAAAAAATAATAATGAGGGCTTCCTTGTGATTTCCAAGGTAATGAAGATGTATAGGCACAGACAAACACAAATCAGGAGGAGCGGATGTCAGTAAAAGCTCCAGCAGTTTAGATGTAGTGGCCACAAGGGCCCAAAGCAGTCATGTAAAGTGGGGACTATGCAGGTGGCTCTGATGCTGCTGCACGGTGCTTGACTCTGCAGTTAAGTGCTGGAACTTGAAATAGTGAATCAATCAGAGGTGTGTAAGAAGACGCCATGATGAGACCTGTAACTCTGTATGTCAATAAACAGCAGAAGGAAGGAGAGAAGGAAGGATAGAGATGGGGGAGGGAGAAGGAAGGAAGTGATGGTGGATGGGAGGGGAAACTCTCATTCAAAATTATTGCTGTCTAAAAGTGGGTGCATTTTGATGCAAAGGATGCAATAAGCTTCCCGTTACATCCAAGTGGCAGCTGGGACTATAGCTACAGCTTGCCTAGTGTGTATGACTCCCTGGGTTGGATCCCTAATGCCACACCATAAAGCCTGTGTGGCGGTGAGTGTAATTCCAGCACTGAGGAGGTGGAAGCAGGATTAAACGTTCAGGCTCATCCTCAGCTGCAAATCAAGTTTGAGATCAGGATAGGGCCCTGACTCAAAGCGGGGAAAATAAACACAAGTAGGTCTTAGCCACCTCCCTTCTCCATTCCTGGACACTGGACCTCTTCAGATACTTTACTCACATACTAGGCACTGGGAAATTTGCCTGGAACCACTCTTAAACCAGAGATTTTTAAAATTATCCTGGGCAGGCTACACGCTCAGATTATGTGCTCATCTAACTTTAGACATCCTTGTACTTTTGAATTAAACAACAGGCATTCTTCACTGCTAAATTCCCACCTCTGTGCCTTGGGGAAGATGGTCTTTTAAAATTTGCATTACAAGTGATTCTCAAGGGAAAGCAAGGCAGGACATCACGGGGGGGGGGAAGTCAGCCTGCGGTGACAGCCTTATTATTGTTAACTGCTTCTCTGGAGGTGGGTTGTCCTAGGGCAGTAGCCCTTAAAAGATAGAAATGATCCCACCCCACCCCAACCCCAGGCTTACTGCCAAATCCCTGAAGTGCAGATCTGAGGGGAATGAAAACAAAAACATTCGCAAGAATAAATCACATGGGGAAGGTATGGCACCAAGGCTAGAGGTGAAAGTACTCAAATGTCTCCAAATGTGTGTTCTGTGCAAATAACAGATGGGTTCCCAGTGGGAAATGTATCAGAAAGGGGAGTGGGAAAGAGGAACTTCTGGCAGGCTTGGATCCTAGGAGGGCAATTTTGTAGCTATACTAAGGAAAGTTGTACAGAGAGATCTGCCAAATATTGGCAGAAAAAAATCTTTCCCTATCCCAGAGATCTGGACTGGGTAGATAAACTGGGACGAGATGCAGTAAATCTCAAACCCTGAGACACAAAGACAATGAAAGCAGTAATTCTGAGGGCCTCGAGTTTTCCCAAAGTGTCTCATAAGAGATAAAGAGAAAATACTGCAGCAGACTACTGGGAGCCTCAAAGATCTGGAAAGACACAGGTCAAAGGCCCCGAAAGATTAAGATGCTGCCAAGATTCCTGGTTACTGAAAGAACCAGCAATCCCAGGGACTGACAGGAATGTCTGCTTGCTTCTAAGCTATATGGATGATAATTTGTGGCCTATGAGAATGGGGAGGGGGCTGTGTTGACTTTGAACTAGTTCCTAACCTTTGCATCTGAAACAGACATGCTCACTTGTCACTCCTTTGATCCATCTTGTCAGCCCTTTACACTTTCATCTCTCCTTTAAGTTGTAATCTCAAGAGCTGTGGCTGAAATCCCAGAAGGTCGGGGCCCAGCCCTCTTGAGCCTCACCTGAGTTGTATCCTCTTCTGAGATAAGATTCCGGCTCTCCTCAGGCCTCATCAAAGGCCTCTGAAACCAATTCCAGGTGAGTTTTTGATAAGAAAAGCTAATGTGTGCCAGCCCTTCTCTGACTGTCTGGTGAGCTGTCCTCACTAACTATTAATAGCAAAGAGAATTTTTCCCACTCCAGGCTCCATACATGCTCCAAAAGCTAGAAGGGTGCAAAAAAAAAAAAAAAAAAAAAAAAAAAAAAAAATCCTACAGTGCTGTGCACATTGTTCCATCTAGGTAGGAAAACTGTGATCTACCCAAGTCTGCAGCATTCTCAAAGGGTTTCTGGTGGGACAATTTGATATCCACTGTCATAAACTGAAATGGCAACCAGACCCTCTCCTGAAGTTTTTTTCCGTCTTGCCCGAGAGGTAATTATGAACAAAGAACTTATTGATTGAGAACATGTTCACTTTTGTTTTTATTTTTACTGATTTTGGGGATTGAAGCTAGAACCTCATATATGCAGGTCATATACCCTCTACCAATCTACATCCCCCAGTGGTTGAACCTACTTTCTTGATGGGCAGCATGCAGAAATCTGCATTGCTCATAGTGTATCATAAGACCTTTTTTTTTGGAAAGCATAAACCTCATGTTAAAGAAAAAGTTTGTTCTACACTTAGGGAAATTATAAAATTTCATTCCTAGAGTCCTAAGAACCTGAACTTGTATTTCAGGTGCCAGGCACTGGCTATTGCACACTTCCTGCCACTGCATCATTTTTTGGCACTGAGCATATATGTTGCTTATATTATACTGCTTAGCTATCTCTTCTACTAACTTTTAAGTCAGTGCATCTTGTGATTTAAACATCATTTGTCCTCGGGAAAAAAAACTATGCTGAGGGTTGATCTCCAAATTTAATGATATTGGTAGGGGCTAGGCATTTAACAGGAACATTTAGTAGGGACTAACATTTAATTAGGCTCATAAGGGCAGAGCCTTCATGAATGGGTTAGTTACTGTAAGAGCAGGCTGCTCTCAAGGGACTCTAGCACTCCACAATACAGCTGCTCTCTTCAGCCCAGGTCTGCTTGCTACTCTCACATACCCTGCCATCATCTGCCATGTTTGTGCCTCATGAGGACTTCCTGTATGACTGAATGATTGTTCATAATTACCTCTTTGAGAAAACTCCAGCAGGAGTGATTCTGGTTGGCATTTTGGTTTCAGACAATGGCTATCTAATTGTCCCTTCTTGATCTTTAGTGCCTTTACTACGATGGTTAAGAAACCAGCTTCCTTATAACCAACTCATGCTCATGAATTTGGTTAATGCAACAGAAAACAAGCAAAGCAAGGACATAGAAAAATTCTTGAACAAATAAATAAAACACACCCTACCTACATTTGGGCTCGGAGGGAAGTATTATTGTCAAAGATCAAAAGGTCTGGCATCAGTGTGAGAAAAAGAAGCAGGGACATATATACCATACATTTTCCTTGACTGATGAATGATCCAGGATTGGAATCCAGTTACTGATTGTTGATTGTTATGTATATTCCAAAGACATGTGTGTTTTGAAAAAAAAATCATTCTCAAGCAAGCATGTTTGGATGATAGGA